AGATAGATAGATAGATAGATAGATAGATAGATAGATAGATAGATAGATAGATAGACAGATAGCGACTCACTTGACTTTTCCTTCCCAGGGAAGAAGACCTGTGGCCAGGTAAGAGCCGTTACCAAGGTCAAGGACGTTTGCAGCTACAGACTTCTTTTTTCCCACGTCCTTGAACCACACTCTGACCTCATCCCCTCCACTGACCTTTGGCCGACCTTGACCGTCCTTCATGTCCACGCGCAAGGTCACGTTCTCACCAACCTCAAAAGTTGTCCTGATGACGGAATGTATACATTTGTTAGGTGTTCTGACAAAACGTGGGAATTCTCGGATTTTAGCCTCATGGAAACAGAATGTATATTGTAATGTTTAATGTGTAGGTTTGTTCGTAAAATTTTGTCACAACGCAGTGGGATCGGGCACTCGTCAATTTTGGTCCTGTGGAGTTATTGGTATCATCTTAAAGTTTGTTCGGTTGTCCTGCTCTAGATGGAAAAAAGTACCCATTAACCTTGGATAGAATTCGAGATATTTGGCATTGAAGAAAGAAGGGGTTGCTTGGTTTCTGAGGTAAATTTGCGAGAAAATGGCCCCCGAAGTTTGAAAACTTCCATAGTTTGAGACAGGGAAACTCTGTGGAAACTCATGCAGCATTATGGAATACCTGACAAAATCATAAAGTTTGTGAAATCCACCTATGATGGAACAAACTGCCAAGTCTTCCACGAAGGACAACTCTCAGAACCATTCCAGGTACAGACAGGAGTGTGACAAGGATGCTTTGCTCTCACCTTTTCTCTTCATACAGGCATTGTCTGGGTCATGAACGAAGCCACCAGAGGCAAGCGCAATGGAATACTGTAGTGCATCCCTTTGAAGCAGCTGGACGACTTGGACTTCGCCGATGACCTTGCACCCACTATTCGAATACCTCTGTCGAATGCTTGATTAAGTCAGAACACATATTTTCAAAAGTCCAAAACTTCCTTAACTTTACTTATACAGTCATAAAACCGAGACAGAAAGACGCGCCACGTATGGAAATCCTGCTTGACCTAAATACGGGCACCCTCTTTTGACAGAAGACGCAGATGTATATAGCATCCACAGACTTAAATGTTTCAAAATATTTTGCTCTGAAAGTGTTAATAGGTTACCAATTCGTTCTGCAAAGCTTCCTAAAGTGGCAAAACCATCACATGCAGTACGGAAATCCTCGGGGAATTTTAGTCAAATTTGATGTTTTTTATCGACTTGTGTGCAACACCACGGACATTCCTCAGTTAAAATTTCTGGTGCACGTCATTAATGGACATACGTTCTCGAACTGTGCTCTCTTAGGTGGCAATATAAACCACCGTTTGCGCAAAATCCAGTATCGCATCAACATGCCACAAAGACGAAAGCTGAGAGACTTTGATCGTGCCAGAGCTATGGCATAGTTGCAGGATGGAGTTGGAGCCCGAGAAGTTGTCAGAAGGTTTGCAGTGTCACACTCTGTCATTGTCCGCCTGAGGCAGCGCCATCAAGCCACTGGATCAGTCCAAGAACGCGCACGTGCAAGTCGACCCAAGAAGACCACTCAGGGTGTTTGCAAGGGTTCCTTTACTTATGTTGAAGTTTGTATGTCTTTTCTTTGGCTCTGTTATTTCTGTTTATCTTCTGTATTATTAGTATTGTCAATTTCTGGAAATAAATACACATTATTGTTTCGACGTGCATTTCTTTATCAAAACAAACAAGTGGGCCGTTAATGGCTAATGGCTGGGCTGCCGGACTCGTAATCGTGAGGTTGCGAGTTTGGGGCTTCGAGCCTC